TTATTCTCATTTGGTTCAGTGAGTCAGTTTTGTTCCCAAGCTAGTACACTTTCCTGGCTGCTTCGGAAGGGATGTCTGAGAACTCTTGGGCCATCCTGCTGCCCTTGAGCTCTTCTTACTTTACTGACACTGCCCTGATGTCCAGCTGTTCACTGTTGGTACCGTTTCAGATATGGTAACACCATTCCTGTCCCCTCTCTTATGTGGTCTTACCTGTTTTCTAAGGGCAATGGTCTGGAATTGCAGTCGTGCTTTGTAGCCCCTTCAAGATTAACAGCAACAGCAGAAGGACAGAAGAGCCAAAGCAGAATTGGTGGATGGAGAGGGCAGGGGAAGCAGAGGAGAGAATGAGATTCTTCTAACTTTTCTGTATCTTGCTGGGTATTTCTGTGTGTCGTGAGTATCTGGGGCAGTTGAGGATACTCTGAAGCACTTGGCAGCATGCTTCTGTGCCGCTAGTAGCGATGCATTCATGAAGCCCTGCTGTGTTCTGAATACAAGAGAGCAAAGCATAGCTTGAATGTTGGCTAAGGGGTGTTTGTCAGGAGAGCCAGGGCAGTTCAGAAGCCAGTGATGCCAAATGTGATTCAATGGAGCATGCAGTAATATAAACATTACTTCTGTATCTCCTCCCTTGTTCAGGATATTGGCATGAGGAGGTAATAACTGGAATGAAGAATCTGTCTTCAAAAAAAAGTCCAGAATTTAAGCAAAAATACAGAGTCCAAATAGCCAGACATCATGGATCTTGGTTTGCTCCCGCTCGGAAGACACAAATTTCCTGAGCTGCATTGTGTATCAGGGCCTTATGATTTGCGTGTTGGAACTTCATTTCTGCTCTCCCAAGGGGCTTTCTCTGCCCGTGGAGGAGGCATCACCCCTGTGACCCAGGAGAGTCTGAAATTCTATTTACCCTGAAGAAATCACAAATTATTTATGTGCAGCTCTGGTTTCAGTGAGCTGAGTGAAGTGTATAAGCGAGCCCTAGATTCACTGTAGGCCTGATCCCAAGAGGCGCTGAGGAGCCTCAGGAGCACTGGATGCCTTGAGTCCATAGTTCTGCCTCATGATTTGCAGGATTGAACCCTCCAACAAGGAGATGCTGGAAGGGCAAGAACATAGATGCTAGAGACAGTGTTTGTGGTTTACAAACTGAAATGTGGTTATATTTATTTTTTGCCTTTAATCTTCAGGCCTGGCCCCAGGTCAGCTGTACACGTACCCAGCACGTTGCTGGCGCAAAAAGAGGCGTTTGCATCCCCCTGAGGATTCCAGGCTGAAGCTGCTGGAAATTAAACCTGGTAAGTATTTATTTGCCTGCCTCTCCTGTGCTGCAGAGCAGCTGGCATACATGCAAACCTGGCATTTAGACCTTGGACTTTATCTTTGCCCCTCTCCAACCATTTCTCTTTGCATCTGTTACATCTTACTTGATTTGCTGTAACAATAACCATCGCTCTACATTCAACTCATCCCTTACAGAAATGTGTGCAACTTGTATTGAATGCAACGGGAGCTGAATTTGCCTTCCACAGGGGTGAATCCTGGCCTCTATTAGCAAATTCATAAGGATGTAAAGGATCAATGTATTACTAATTATTGCCTCAGTGTGTTATTAATACAAAATTTCACGCTGGCATCTGCTGCCTCATCTTTGTGAAAAAGACCGCTGTGTGTGTGGAACAGTACACTGGTAAGATTTTTCATAATGGGGCTGGGGACCAAGGGTGTGACCAGATTATAAAGAGCAAATAATAAAAATTAGTGAGCATATGCCACATTTGTATATGTGTGTATGCCTGTTATGTGTACCTTATTCCATGCTTCTTTCATTCTTGTTGTCCTTGGTACTCTTTC